ATGTGCATTATATCATTCTCTCGTTCATTCTTTATAGTTTCCTTTGTCTTTTTAGCTTGTTCTTGCAACTTTTTATATCGGAGAGTACTTTTTCCTGATGAAGATGCAGCTGCCTCTTTCTTGGCAGACCTTATCAATTTTGATTTGACTGCTTGTTGAGCATCTACTATATGTTTTGGTGGATAATATCCAAAATATGAAAAGTCTTGTAAAATTGGCTGATGTTGATAATAGCTGTCCTCAATATCTAACGGCAATTCTTCCTTACTCATTTTTTTATTGAATAACGACTTGATTTTTCGAAAAAGACAATCTTTGTTTTGGCGCCAAACTTACCGTAGATGATTCTTCTAATTTTTGGATCCTGAACAAAAAAAATGAATGGGCAAGTGAGAAATAATTTTATGGAAATTGTAAAGATGATTTTCAAATAAAAACAAGAAAAAAAAATGGGCAAGAGAAGCCGCACAATTGATCAAGACAAGGATCTTGAGGAAGCAAGAGAACCACAAGAGATGAATCTTTATGATCACTTATCGAGTTTGTATGATAGTTGTAATGGAGAGAATGAAGAAGGAGCAAATAATAATAATAATAACACTGTTATTGTTCCTCCGAATGTTATTGTAAAGACTTCGTTTAAAGATTTTAATGTTCATGAATTTGCAGTCAAGAGAAGTGGCTTATTTAGAACCATGATTGATTCGAATGAACAGTGGAAATTGGGAAAAGTTGATGATAAATTCAATATTGATTTGACAAGTGTTGAAGGCTCTATTTCAACAGAGGGAGAACCTTTGAAAAAAAAAGATTTTGAAATCATTTTCCGATATTTGTATTGTGATGATTTTAATTGTTATATGGGTACTTCAACCTTGAAAAGAATTATTGACATGGCCAAATATTTGGATATTCCCTCTCTTATCACAAAGATACTTGATGGAATTCAATTTTCACTTAAATATTTCCCAATCAAGTACTCATTGAAAGGAGAGTTGACTGAGCATGAGATTGTTGATCTAATTTTCAAATTAACTAATCGATTTAAAAATAATTACGGCGAAGAAGTGAAAGGATATTCGAATGAACTAATCTCATATATTTGCCAACAACAATTGGTTCCTCTATTTATCAAAGTTAACCTTTTACAACGTCATTTAACACAAAATAACAAAGGGTTTGTGATTACAAAAGAAATGCTACAACCATTTTCAGATTGCATCAAAAAAATGAGAAAGGAATCCAAATACTTATTACCAAACCAATCTGAGAACATTGACCCAACAATGTTCAAATTATTGGAATTGAAACAGCCAAAAGAAAATCCATGCAAACGCAAACACTATCGTTGTGCTGATACTGTTTATATTTCTATGGGAGCAGAAGAAGACTCAGGTGAGGTAAGTGAGAAATTTTATAATAGTTATTAACAATTTTAACCATGTTAAGGATTTTAATTTATTTGATGGCAAGGTTCGTATTGATGTTTCATGTGCTTCCAGGAGCTCAGCTTTTTGGTGGGATCTCACCTTTCAAAACGATCTCGCCAATGAGGAAATTAAACTAGCTTACAAAATATTCTACCAAGCTAATGTTGGTTCTAAACAGGAAGAAATAACAGAAATTGACGATATTTCTGAAACAGAAACAATTTATGCACCCCAATTCGATACTGGTGGATTTTATGCTAACTTTCTCTTCTTTTTCAAAAGAAATTAGATTCACTTAAATTTCATGTAAATGTTTCTTGCAATAAACATTAGTTTCTTACAAAAAAATGAATCAAAGTGATGCTAAACCACAACCTTCTTTTGGATTCAAATTGGGTGCAATAATAGTCAGCTCCTCTGTGATGGCTTCTCTAATAATATCCCGATTCAGAGTTTGTAATTCAGAGGCAGAATATTTAATTCGGGAATTCTCTTAAGAGAATTAGGGATGGTAAAATAATTGTTAGTAGGAGGGGAATTGTTTGGCCCTTTCAATCATCACGAATTATTAAATTGGATCAACCTCTATTGAAAGTATGTGTTGCTAATAATATTAATAATAATAATATTGGTGGATTAATAAAGTTTGATTGGAATGAAAGAGAATTTCCGATTGAGAGAATGAAAGTTAGTATTGTGGATTATGAAAAGAATAGGAAAGGATTTTTGGAAATATCTGAAAGGTTATTGGATAAAGATGAAAAGAAAGTCTTAGATCGAAAGGAAATGGAAGAATTAATTGAGAAAGTTGTGGAGAAATTCACAAACATTGATAATAATTTCATGGAGGAGCTCAACAAGGACTTGAATGAAAGAGGACTAGAGATATTTTCACTCAATGTAAGAAAACCAATTAATGAACTAATTGAAAAGGAAACATTGAGTAAGGAAGATGTTGAAAAATTAATGGAAAAGAATGTAAAATTGAATGAGTTAATAGAAATTCACCTCAAGATCCAAACTCTACG